AGCATGGACCCTGACAAGAGATCCCTGAACATATGTTGTCCTTTAAGGAAAAGAGTGCGCGGTGTTGCTCCTCGAGGGTCCGTATTAGTCTATCGGGGATGAGGGGCATGAGGGGCCTTGACAGCCTGGACGTAAAGTCTGAGCCCAAATTATCCAACAAAACGTGGTTTCTAGACAGAAAGTCCAGTTACAGTAGCTATTTTGCGTGGTGTTGCTATTGCTCATTGGTGCTTGTTCCTCTCATGTCTACTCATTAGTGTCTTGGATCTCGCTATGATGATGCTTGAGTGGTTCCACCAGCACAGGAACCGTGCTGCTGGGTCTTTGCATTAAGCAGAAGGTGTGTATTGCTGTTTCAAGCCAAAGTCATGACTGATCAATTTGTCACAAAGACAAATTCTTCATACTCCAGCTCCGGGGTGGGGGGGGGCGGTCCTTCTTCCACTGGTCCAGCCTCGGACCCCTCCGCGCGACCCGGCTGAGTTCCCGGGGCCCGAAGTGCGGAAGGCCGATGACCCTGGGGGGACGGACGCGCAACGCGAGGACGGTGGAGGGCAGAGAGACCAAGGCCGGTGACCCTGAAGAATCCGAACGAACTGGACGAATCTGGAGAGCACCAATCCCTTTGAGACAAAGCTTGACAAGAGATGTTCTGAATCAACTGGCTAAGGAGCTTCCTCTTGGGAGCATATGGAACCCACAAAACTCTGACTTCCACCAAGTTGCGCTGCATAGATCACCGCGGCCACGCCGAACATCGCTAGCTCCATCCACACGAGGGATACAGCCTGCATGGAGTGGTCTCACGCGAATGGGCAGTCTGAGGTAATGCTAAAATTTGGGAAAGAAAATTCTAATGAGTTCTTGTTCCTAGTCGCGATGCCAGGAGCCCCTAGTAGCTTCTTGTTCCTAGTAGCGATGCACTTGTTCCTAGGAGCATAAGGAAAGCATGTGGACATGAAATGCTGGTGGCATCATGGATCCTTCCGGTCTTCATGGTTTTAACGCTCCTGTGATGCATTAAGGGGTGACGTTTTGATCAGTAGGCACCGAAGATTCCCAAATCACGCCTCGTCATGTACCAACCTCCCACTTAGAAGTTTCTCGGAAAGAACGTATGCAACTATAGCTGAACTTTTCCTGCTCAGTAGAAACAAGGACGAATGTACTGAGAGCCAGTCCACACATGGCCAACAATGAGCAAGCAAGCATTCTAGGTTCTAAGTTTTACTTAATAACTATATTATATATATATATATCTGGCCTCAGGTGAACTTGCAGATATTTCTGATTGCGTTAGACATCTCATGCCTTGTCATCGGAGTTGAGTACAATCTGGACCATGTATTTGCTGATGAGTTGGGGAAAAAATGTTGGCCCTTGCCCATTAAGTGAATTTGAGGGGCACCTACAGCACGTCCGGCTCGCCACATTCACCCGCCGGTGTCACAGTCGGCCACGGCGTGCACGCCTCGAAGACCGTTGATGACATCCATGACATCGTGTCGACGAGAGCCATAGTTTTTCTTGGTGGCGAAACCTCACCGGTGCGGTGCAGACAAGTCGAAAAAGAACTGATAGGTTTTCCCATGGTTTGTCTCTAGTACCTGAGCTTTGCGCTAGGTTTTGCCATTCTAGGAAAGGCAATCGTTGTAATGAATGATTGATGGAATATGACGTAGTTACTGTATATACCATCTATAACATGTCCAGAGATTCGAGGAAACCAATCCTGCCGTAAATCACTCAGCTTGAGTTCTGGGAAAGTCCTGATTCATAGATATCTCGGATGCAACTTTCAAGTCAAGTCAAATGAGTCAAATCACAAGAAAACAATCAATGCCAGTATAGGCTAGTAGGAAAGACTCCCTGAAACCTCAAAAGTGACTAATTTGACACTAAACCCTTCGGGCTGAGGTGCACTCAGGCAAGTCAATACCAAATTTGCCCTGATGCGTAATTATTCCACGGTGCTTCAACAGGGATATGTGCCTTTATCAGGGTCTTCTAAAAACCAAGAACACACTGCTTGCATCTGACCCTTGGTTGTCTCTGGTGTAAATCCTTGGCAACCTCTCCTAGCGAGCGCGCTCTGGTCGTAGCGTTCAGGTCATCTGGCTGAGCCCTGTGGTCTTTGCAGGGAGCTTAAGTTGACTTCCCGGCGCCCATCACATTGTTTACTTCAAGGGTTTCGGACTGTTATATACACCTCTAGCCCATAACTAGCCGTTCACCTCGACCTGTCCTACCTTTGCAAAGCTACTATTGTAATAGTATGTACAACAACTGGGATCAACAAACAAGGAACATCACACAACTGAGTTGAGTTGAACTGCTAATGTACTAGTCGTAGGGATGTATACTCTTGTTTGCAGTATACACTGTTCTTCTCAAATCTTCTCAAAACATGTGAATGAGTGGTAATGCCAATTAAGACTTAGGGGTTCCCAGTCTGACCAATGCAATCCATAAAATGATAGCCTTCAAGCCGAAATGGTGAATCTTCTTCAATGTGTAGTGTGTGGTGCTTCCTCAGTCACAATGACTAACTGCTAACTCCATATGAATGCAGCTGAGGTGGTTCCCAAAGCACACAGGCGAGCCAGGCGGTTGGAGCAAACACGCGCGAGCAAAACGCGCGGGAGCTCGCCAGCCAGGGCCTTCAAGAGAATGTCTGGAAGGCAAGAATGGGAAGGGTTGTTCCCACCTTGGTAGGCCGTAAGAATCAACTTCCACTCGCCATGTCCACAAAAAGCTTACACCGCCCTCGCTACACCTCACTCCACACCACTAACATCACCAACTCTCCTCACCACTCCAAGCACTGTTTTGGGGAGGAGAAACTTGCAGCAGATCGCCGCGCCGCGGTAGTGTGCCAGAAAAGTCTCGTGAAGACCACCATCCTGCTCCGTTTTTGACAACATTTCTCCATACTCTGATGGCACCTTGAACAGGGCTCAAAAAATATGATTGCGGATGAAGCGATAAGACTCCCACACCATTAAAAAAGACACAGAACAACGACTCCACAGGCCGCTGTTCAGTTCGTTCAGTATGGATTCCTCTAATGATTCCCGCATTCCTCTTGTTTCTTCATTCTTGCACAAGTAAGATACGAAAGGGACTTCACGAAAACAAAGTGGCGGAGGACGGATCTTCTGGCCAAAGCAAAAAGCGTTGTCCCAGCCGTCGAACCCGTAAGCCCTCAAAATCCACGTTTGAAAAAACTACCCGGTTCTTTGCGGCATTCCATTTCTCAAAGCACTTCAGCTTCAGCATCTGATCACGAAGTATCACGTTGCAGGCAGCCGACGCGCAAAACTTCAATGGGCTTCAATCAGAGCCTCTGTGCCAACGGTGCTGCTGAAGCCAACTCTTGGAAAAGTGTAGGGAAGATGTGCGAAGAAAATGTGTGAATAGGAGGAAAAGGTGTGGAAACCCATGAGTCAATTCTTTTCTGCGGAACTTTCAAGCATCACAACTGCAAAGTCTGCAAAGTGATCTTCGACACAAGACTACAAAGACTACAGTGTATACAGTAAAGGCTTGGCTCTCTAGCTCTGTGTAAAGACATGTTTTCCCGAAGAAGTGACTTCCTTTTTTGACAATTGGTGCCACCTCTTGGAACGCACCTTGGAGACCTTTCTTCATTGAACTTCTCCCTGCTGTTCAATGCATGGCAACTGCTACTTGCTCCCCTGAACCTTGCGTGTGTTCTTCACGGCCAAAATCCTGTGGAAAGGTCTGTCTTGCTTTTCACTAGTTCACTGTTCACTATTTGGTCAATGAAGAGAAAGGCTTCCTGCCTGCCATTGTTTCCGAAGAAGAACAAAAGTTGGCCTCTGGTTAGTTCTCACTGCAAATGGGTGCCCTACACAACCAAGCCCTGCAAAAAAGAACGATCAGCTCAAAAGCAATCCTGAAGACCTCATGGATTGCTTGCATGCATCCTATCATCACCAAACCCGTCAGAAAACGGTGTATTTTTCAAAACCGGCTGATCGCCCACCAGCTGATCGCCCATCCGGTGGTCACCGAGCAGCTGATCGTAGCACCGAGGCTGAACTCGCTGGAAAAACACAGCGACACATGTTCCACAGCCGGGCACGGCAGCGGCAGCGGTGGAATGGAATGGGCGAAATTTCATCAAAAGACGGACGAATTGGAGAGTTGGTGCCTCCGTAGAAAAGTGCACAACGGAATCAGAGCAGGAATCAGAGCCATTTATGCGCATCTTGAACTAGGCGTCAACAGTAACTATCAGCGATCCTGTGTTGATTCGCAGACGCCTGACCTGGCGCCTAGCAGGTTGAGAATGCTTTTCACGAAGAGCCCTCAGGCAAACTCATATTGCTTGTGCCTACAGAACCCGCACACGAAGGTCTTCCAGATGTTGGCATGAACTGAACCGGTGTTTCCACACTCTACAAATGCATCCACTTGCAGGACCACTCCTCCGAGATCTCTGATTTGGACCCCCTGCACCGGGCCCGAACTAAGCCCATGAGAAGCCCAGGCCGACTCAACGAGCTGCCATGAGATCCAGCCGAAATCATGTCTCTTTTTTTAGCCGGGGGGGTAGGGTAGGCCGTGTAGAGGTGAGGTAGGTTAGCTAGGGAGTCGGTAGCTGGTAGAAGCTGGGGAGTCGCTAGTACCTACAAGTAACCTACTACATATGGACGCAAGATAACTCACGCTTCTTCAAGGAAGCTCGGGAGCTTCCTTGAAGAAGCGCTCGCACGATTCATTTGGTTGGTCGATATAGTGTTTTTGGGGAAACTTGATGAGACAAACACAAGACCATTGAGCCATTGGGCCGGACAATTCTTTGTGAGTAGGAGGCTGGAAAGTGCACAGTGGCACTTGCATTGAAAGGAAGAAACATCGCCATGGTTTCCGTCACCTACAATCAATTTCATATCAAAACTATCAAATATTTGGCTGTGGCTCTTAAAATGTTTCCTTTTGGCATCCTTGGTTCCTTCCCTCGGGACTCTGACCCAGCTTCTTCGCGGGCTCGGCACTTGGATTCCAACGCACCTGATCATGGTGCACCACGCGGTCGTTGACATGTGGATGTTGACAGGGAACGAACATCAGTTTTGTCGGGAAGCTCCAGGCAGGATTGCCTTACGAACACCTCAAGGCATAGCTCAATTGAACCTTCGTCGGCAACACTGGAGAAGTGACGGTCTGGTTGGAGCAGCCAAACGTTCCACATCATCAGGATTGGAAACTGTCGGATTGAGAAGGCCTAACCCTAACCCCAGTGTTCTGCGGGCAAACCAATTGACCATCCCCCCAATTGACCATCCCATCGGCAGCAGAGCTAAGTCCTTTTCAGACCCTGCTTTTCCCAATGGAGTGCCAGCACCATCGGCCCACGCTGGGCGAACCCGGCCAAGGCATCGATCTGCTTGGACACCTCCAACCTCTCCGAATCGGCACTCTTCCGGCGGTTTCTTCAGGTTCCCGCGAAGATCACGAAGGGGCCTTCATCCAAGGGACGCGGTTCCTTCGGGCTCCGCTGATCTCTGGCCTTTTCGTTCAATCACTGGAGGCTGCCAGAGTTTCACGTATCATGTGAATAATGTATCTGATATTATCTGATGTATTTGATGTATCGAAACTTCACCACTGATGTATCTGACAAAAGGACTTCGCCTTCAAAAAGGGCTCCGCTTCGTTCCTACCAGGGTGCCACTCGGTTCACATTGAGATGCTTGAGGCGTTCACTACTTACTACTTGGGTTCCTTTGGTGAGTTTTGTTTGGAGCCTCGAGCATTGCAAGTACCTCCACCATGGGGTATAGTTATAGTTGTAGTGTGTGTATATACTATATATAGATACATGTGTACCAAAAATACAAAAACAAACATATAGTATAATTAATACAATACGATATATTTATAATATATTACAACTAAAGTGACATTTATATTGTACATCTTGTCAATCCTTGACATGTGGTGAATTCTTTTGGCCTCTGCCTCTGTCTATGGCAAACCTCCACCCCCCGCAACACGCGTGCGCCTTTGCTGCTCGCTGGCCTTGAAGCCCCGGTCAAGAGACTTCAAGCTCTGGCGCCGTCGGGTCCGGTCGGGTCGGGTCGCTGGGGGGGTCGCTTCTTGTTACAGTACTAGTAGCGATGCCAGGAGCCCCTAGTAGCGTCCTTTAGTAGTTTCTTGTTACTAGTAGCGATGCCAGGAGCCCCTAGTAGCGTCCTTCCTCCTGGTGGTAGTAAGGCCAGGGATCCCTAGTAGCTTCTTCATCCTAGTAGAGATGCCAGGAGCCCCTAGTAGCGTCCAGTAGCGTCCTTTAGTAGTTTCTTGTTACTAGTAGCGATGCCAGGAGCCCCTAGTAGCGTCCTTCCTCCTGGTGGTAGTAAGGCCAGGGATCCCTAGTAGCTTCTTCATCCTAGTAGCGATGCCAGGAGCCCCTAGTAGCGTCCTT